CCCTTCAAAGATAGTACTGGAAATGCAAATTTGTTGATAAATTACACCCCACAGGTATTTACGTGCCTAGCTACCCTTGGAGGTCAGCACAAGGATTTATAAACTACTATTTTTGTAATTAATATGTAATATAAAATCCATACCTAACCAAAATTGTAATCTTTGGATCAAAATTTAAATTAATTATTACTGAAACCTTGATTGAGTTCTGCAGTTTGATGCTGCCAGTACCAGTGCTTTGAAAGGGATGGTAACTGGAACCAAACTGTTTTTGAATTACAAAAAGCGAATATATATGTGCTTAACCTTGAAGGTCGGCAAAAAGATTAATGAAATTATATTTTTTTTATGATTTGTTGTCAAGTAATGCAAGATTTTAGCTAAGCTATAATGTAATTTCTAAAATATAACTTAAATAAATTATTGCCCAAAGTAGAGAAACAGGTTTAAAAGCCAAATTGGTTTACAGAGACTCAGTGCCTTCAATATAATAGATAATCTAAATCAAATATTCCTTTAAATGTATAATAGTGGATCACTTGATTTTCAAAACCTTTTTTCAGTAAGCAGATAATAATTGAAAATTTTTCATAATACTACCTAAATTTATATATGTATATATTTTGAATATGGTACAACTAATTTATTTTATTTTTGCTGAGGTGGCCATGCCCTGGTCACTAATTTATGGGCATATCTCAGTTAACTGTTGATAACACTTCTTCACACTGAAGGCCCCCTTTACAGAATATAAAATCTTGAAAGTAATTGTAAAAACAGTTAAAATATATGACTTTATAAGGCTTTAATGAATCAAATATATTTAACAAGTTACATGCACTATATGACAAGGACTTAATTTATATTTATATTATATTTAGTATGGTGAGCCCACTAGGAGGATGGGTTCCAAACTGTCCAATACTTGTTTTCTTCATTAAGAGATATATATGTAGCCTGTTAAATTTCAGAGCTGAATTCTGTTATGTAGGTTATTGTTGACTATTTTTTTTTTCTTTCTTTCTTTCTTTTTGAAAGAAAAAAAAGAAATAAAATGAGATGGAAAAGTACTAAGAATTTTATCTAGTTAAGGAAGTTAGAATTGTACATGTATTTTTTCATAATTGTCCACGTTAACAATTATATTGAAGAATTTCAGTATGAAGGCCTTGTCCTAAGAATTAGCAAAATGTTTTCTTAGCTGTATAGATTTTCTATTTCATATTTGTAAGGAATTAGAAATTTTTAATCAGGAATAGCAGCAAATGAAGATATTGCTGTATAGTATTTTTGTATTTTACTAATTTGTCTTTTTTCAAGGAAGTGTATGTTGTTTTCACTTGCAGTGTATCACTGAAGTAGATTTTATTTTGATATTATTTTTGTAATAAGGAACAACAATCCTGTACAGTTCAATGGCTCAAGTACCTGCTTTGTGGGTTAATTATTTGTAACCCATGAGCACTCACATTAATCCATTAATTAATTTTGTTGAGAATGTATTAAGATGTGTATGACTATTTCATATGAAATGATATCAAGAAACTTTAATTAATGGTCATTTTGCACTGGATGGAGAATCTCATTTTGTGGCCATAATTAAGAACGAGTGGGATTTGTTGTCATATATTAGTAGTAGGTCAGAGTATGGGTAGCATTTATTCTGTATTAAGAGCCTTAAAGAAAGATCTTTTGTTTCTTCATGTGCAGATCCAGCTTAAAGTTTATCGTGAAAATACCATACAATATTTTAAGGAATAATTGTGTAGATCTTAGGCCTTGTATATCTATGCCTTCATCTATATATTTATTTCTATCTGTCTATAATTATATCTGGAGGTGTGAATGTGCAAAAGGATTCAGATCATATGAAAACTATATGAATTTTTGTAGTAGTTACCAAAGGCCACTTAAGATCCTAGTTACACCTTTCTTTGCCATTACAAGCTTTTGCTTCCAATCAGTGGATAGGGTAACCCTGTTGCAGAGGGAATATTAGTGGACTGTTTGGCAGATTGTACAGCAGCTTTGAGTTTGGAAGTCGTTGATGCTTTCTGTGGTATCATAGAGCATTGCATTACGAGGCCCCAGATATGATCTAATAGGGTAAGGCTTCAGGAATTAGTGGCAAGTCAGGTATATTAATTATATCAATATTACAATGCAAAATAATTTTTTAATCAGCTTTGGTGTATGACACTTTTGATATGTCTTTTTGGAGTGACCCCTCAGAAGTGGACACAAAGTCGTCATTCAAGAGTATGTAATAAGCCAGAGATTCATTGTTTCTTTGGTTGGTAAGAACACTAATTCCATCCACACATTCACACCATTGGGGTCAACAGTTATATGGCCAGTAGAGCGAGAGTGAGTGACTGAGTTAGTGAGTGAAAAGAAGTGAGGGAAATTGAATGAGTGAATGAGTATTAAGAGTGTGTGTGTGTGTGTGTGTGTGTGTGTGTGTGTGTGTGTGTGTGTGTGTGTGTGTGTGTGTGTGTGTGTGTGTGTGTGTGTGTGTGTGTGTGTGTGTGTGTGCATGTGTATGTGTACATTTGAATACAAATACAATGCTTACATGAACACAGAAAGTTATGCTGATATGCATGTGTTCCCCATTTGCTTATATGTTCCCAATTTAAATGAATGTATTTAGAATTAAAGTGTGTCTCTATGAAATTATTCTTAACCTTTCTGAATTTGAAAATGTTCAGTGGATTATATTTTCAGGAAAGAAAATGAACTTAAATGGGGAAAAATGGAACTCCAGATCAGGACACATTTAACTGCAAACGAGAGAATGAAAGGTGTAAGTTTAGGAACCTTGGAGGTCGTAGTCTTAAAGAGTCCTGATTTACCTCAGGGAGAACAAGGAGTTTTTCTTCTTTTTTCTCGGAAATGTAGCTCAAAGGGTACAAAAGAATAGATTTCCTGACTATGCACACGGACACATCCTTGTGTCACGTCAGCTCGTAACCCGAACCTGCTAAGGTAAGTGGGTGGCTTTGTGGAGGTTCTCCTTATCATCCTGACAACCAGAGAGTCCTGCTGGTAAAAATGGAAGTGAATGATGTAGGGAGGATTGGAAAATTGAAGCCTTATGGGAAAAATGTATATACGGTTTACATATCTTTACTTTGTAAAATATTGTAGGAATAGAGACCCAATTTCATTAAACAGTTATATTGCTGCTCACATTAAGAAACATGCTCTAACAATTTATTTATCTATTTATTTAGTTTTCACTAAACAGTTATATTGCTCTTCACATTAAGAAACATGCTCTAACAATTTATTTATTTATTTATTTTTCAATAATTTATTCATATACAATTTTTCCATATTTCTTATTACATGTTTCTTCCCATTTCTGTTTCTGCAGTCTGCTTAGCTTTGAGAGAAAAAGTAGGCAAATACTGCATATAAGGGGCTTGTCCCTTCATCCTTATTGTCCTCCCTATAATACTACCTCACTCCACACTACTCCATCTTCCTTCCTCTCTTGTCCTCCTTTTGCTTCCACCTCTACAAACCTTTTTGAGTGCTTGCTTTGGTCCAGCGAAGTGGGATCGTGTGTGATTCCCCCTACAGCCTCTTATTCTGACAATACCCTTCTCTTCCAACAGTTTTTCTTAAAACAAGTGGAGAAAGTTACAATCATTCATGCCTTGTCACAATCACATTTGAGTCCCAAGCTCATGTACTACTTACGCTGTCTGACCTCACTGGTAAACCTATACCTGCCGAACCCACTCCTCTCTTAACACTTGTACCGGCACGGTTTCTGTCTCCCTGATCAGTCTGAGAACTCTATACTTGCCTGCCTTTTTGATGCAGTGGCAGTACAGTGCTACACTATTCCTTCCAGAGGCCAGCGTAAGTCCCATACCGCTATTGCCAGGATTAGCTTCAGTAGTCGTGACCTATCCCCATGAAGTTTATAATGGTGAAGTGCCCTGTCCTGTCCTACCATATCGACCTCGTTTCTCATCGTTTTGGCCACCCAGCCAAACACTGTCTCTCCACAGCCCGCTGCCCTCTTATGCCCAACCTGGTCATGACTGTTCAAATTGCACAGCTTAGTCACATATGTGTCCCAGTTGTGATGGCCCATAATCTGTTTCATAGGAGCTGCCTTGCCTTTAAGCTAGAATCTGAAGTACCAGTTTTCAGATCCAAACTAGACCTCATTCTACGTGAGGCCAGACAGAAAGAACGACAATGAGGTTTTTCTCTCTCTATTCCAAAACTGTCCTTCGCTCTGTTCCCCTCCCAGTTTCTCAAAATTCCTCAGCATCTTCCCCAGTATCTCTTCCCTCTACCCCAAACCATCCTACCTCTCCTCCCCGTCAAATTCCTTTCCATTCTAAATCCAGATTCTCCAATCTCTATCACTACCCGATGTCCACCCCAAATCCTTCTTGTCGCACCTAAACGTTCCACATCGTCTCCTACACCCTCTTCCTCTGCTCCTCAGACATCCAACCCCTCTTCTCCTCACCGGAGAACCTTTTTTATTCTTGAAGACATCCAAAACTTCCTAAACACGACCCAAAAGAATGTTCTGCTCCCTCGTTCCCCCTTCAATTCCTCTATTCCCATTCGCTCCACATTCAAAGTATTTACCGATATCCATCCTCAAATTCCCCCAACCCCCCTTCCTCCCACTCTCTCTCAACACACCCCATCCTCTCCCTCTCCATGTGCACCATTCGCTCTTCGTTCCCCATTAGCCTTGCCGCTTCCACCTGGATGCTCACGCGAATCCCTTCTGCCGCAACAGTGTCCTTCTCCGGATTCCTTCCCTCCTAACTTTCTTCCCGATACTTCACCACCTTCCCTGGTGCCCTTGCTTCATCCCCCGGGTTCTTCTGCAAGTTCTCCATAATGGATCCTTTGTCGGTTTTCCGGGTACAATGTTTCTCTTTCTTCCGCAGACACATACTCTCTATTCTATCCAATCGCCCTGCCCCCTTAACCTTTTCGTCTTTTCTTAGTTCTGCCTTACTTTGTTTGCTTCCCCTCTTTACCCATTTCACTACTATACTACCCCTATAACGTGCTATATAACCTTTGATATCTAACACATCTTATATTAATCGTTCTTACCCCTTTCGCCACAATATTTTACCATAATTCTAGTGACCTCTGCACATTTATTTGTTTTACTATTATCCATGAACCATAGTCATGAGGCACTTCTTCTAAAGAACTTTCATGATTTGGCGATATAGCCTACTTAGAATACCTTTTTTTCGTTAAGCTACTGTTTCGTGACTTTTTTTTTACTCATTTATCTGGACATTTTGACCAGGTAAATATTGGTGTGGAAAAGTATTTTGAAGTGTGGGGTGGGGCTGTACGCCCCTTTCGGAGTCCAGGGGCAATGCCCCAGTAGGGGACAAGGGGCGAAGCCCTCGGAAACTCCTAGATTTTAACAGTTTTAAAGAGAGAAATCCATGAATTTCTACACCAAAATCTGACATTTCTTTTCATAAGACTTGACATAACGCCGAAGTCTGTGATACTGACCGTAGATTAGTTGCGATTACCCTGCGGGTCCACTTCAAAACTCTCCAGCGGTCCATAACCAGTGGGGAGTTTGCTGAGGCAATTTCTGGCATTTTCACAGCGCTCGACAATCTGACGGACCCTGTACTTCTATGGGACACCTTCAAGCGGGAAAGGCTTAGTGCACCTAAAGAATCGATTGGTGAACGTCCAAGAGCATGACAGAATTTTGTCTCGCAGGAGACACTGGAAGCTACAAATGCTTGCCCGTCTCGCCTGACAGGGGATCGGAATTTGCACCGTTCTCTGGTGTGCAGAACTCGGTCACTTGAGAAGGAACAAGGAACAGTTTATTAAGAGTAGCAGAGGAGGCCGAAGACCATTACTTAGTAAATGACCATCGTCCTGCATACCAAGCCCTGGGAAAGCTGAACTCCAAGCTCTCTTCACAGGTGACTTCAGTTCGCTCTGTGAGTGGCCAGATTGTCTCAGATCCAGTTGGGGTGCGGTAAAGTTGGGCTGAGTATTCTGAGCAGTTGTACCAGGATGATCCACCAACAGTTAACCTGGATACGGGTGGTGCCGAGATTCCATTGCCGGACCCACCCATCAGTGAGAATCCACCATCCCTAGCAGAAGGTAAGGCAGATTGATACAGCCCAGGGTAGAGGAGGCTTGTGGGACGACCAAGGAAGTCGTGGCTTGGGCAGATCGATCCAACCTGTCGTGAAGCGCTCGAGATGGACCGAGTCCCTGCCTATCGGCTTGTCATGAGGGACCCTCGTAGGTGGAAACTAAGGGTGGATGCGGTATTGCGCCCCCGTCGGCGTTAGCTCCCTGATGATGAGGATGATATATAGTATTACATTGCCAAAAGCAATGTAATACTGTCTTTAAAAGGGGAGTGTAGCAGTATATATATATATATATATATATATATATATATATATATATTATATATATATATAGTATAGTTTATATATATATACATATATATATATATATCTTATATATATATATATATATATATATATATATATTATATATATACACCATATATAATATATATACATATATACTGTATATATATTATATATATATATATATATATATATAATATATATATATATATATATATATATATACATACATTACATACATACACTATATACATATATATGTTATATATATATATTTATATATATATAATATATACATTAATATATGTATTAATATATTAATAATATATTTAATATATATTATAATAATATAATATACACTAATTATATATATATATATATATTATATATATATTAATAATAATATAATATAATAGTAATACGTATGTATACACACAACACACACACACACATTATTCACACACACAATAATATAATAATGATTATAGTATATATATACTTAATAGTTTATTAGTCACAATATTATTTATAACTATATATATATTTAATTTAATATAGCTATATATTACTAAATATTAATACAATATACTATCATATAGTATTAAATAAAATATAAATAATAAGTTACTATATATTATAATATATCAATAATATAAGGTATATTTCATCATATTATATATTATACAATATATATATAGATTATAATATAATATTAAGGTAATATATTACTACATATATACTAAATAGTATAATGTAGTAAATCATACATTAATCACTATATAACATTAACTAAATATGATATATATGACATATAATATTATTATATATATGGATATTAATATATAATATATATATCACTATGATATTAATATATATAATTAATTATTATATTATGTATATAATTATATGTAATATATATATAAACTATATATTAATAAAAATATAATAATAAAACTCATATATATATCTCAATATAAATAATAATATATAATATATAGGATATCAACGTGCATTGGCTAACATTTAATAATTAATGTATATGTTAATTATACTAATACTATAGATAATCATATTATTAATATATATATATACTATTATATATAATAAGATTAATGTGTAATATAGATATACTATATAATATAGTAAATATATATATTTTAGATATATATATATTATATATATTATATATACATACATAACATAATATATACATATAATATTCTGATATATATAATATATATATATAGTATTATATATATTATAGAATATATAAAAATATATTATATTATATATAAATTAAAAATGATATAACACACTAATATTATACTCATATATACTATATACCATAAAAATAGTATTTAACAAATATATTGTATAAATATGATTATATATTAGTATATAAATATAATATAGTATATACAATCAATAACCATATACTCATAATACACAACATATATCACAAAAGTACTAACACAATATCATACTACTATATATGTATATTATAATATAATATCACACACGATCATATTATCATATATATATCATATATACTATCCATTATATATACTAAAGCTACCATATATATAATATATAATTGTGATATATATATATAATGTATATATATGTGATATAGATATAATATTATATACATACACATTCAACTAAACACATAACATACAATATAATATATATAGATAGATTATATATTTATGATATATAATTTTAATAATAGTATTATATTTATATTACACTAAACACACAGCGAGTATAATGTTATATTATATAATTTATTAATAATTATATCACAACATTAAATTATATATTGAATATATACTATTTATATAATATATCATATTTATTATATATATATATACTATTATATATAATATATAAGATAATATATAATTTAATATTAAAAGTAAATTAAGTATATATATATATTATACGTATATAATATGACATTATAGTTATAAATCCACTCTTATATTAATAATATATATTATATATATTATCTAGTATACTTATAATATATTATTATATATATTTATCATATATTATATTATACATATATATATATATATATATATAATATTAGTATTAATATATATCATATCATATATAATACTACATAATATTATATTATATATAAATAGTTATAATAGTAATAGTGTAGTTATATTTACCGAGTAGTAAGAAGCCCGATCCTCGGGATTATTCGTAAAATTTATGATTTCAGAGAATATGCCCTAGTGACTTAAATTTTGATTAATAATTAAATAATTGGTAAAGTGTCATTGTAAAGGGACAAAGAAAAAGCTTTGTTATTTTTCTTAATCATTCAATTAGGCTATATTATTAAAACACCGCTGGGGTATTAATTCCACCTCAAAAATTAATTCTGAGACGAAGAGAGACGAGAAAGTATCCTGGTGCTTTGAGATACAGAGGTGTTTGATAGTTAGAAATATAAGACAAAAGAAAATATTGTTATACGAAAATATCTCATATGATTATATATATTTGATATATTGTATTTCCATGTAATAGAGTTCTATCATCTATTATATTTAAATGTATAATTAATAAATTAAGATAGTGCATATATTTGATCGTAATAAGTAGAGCATTATATATTGGTGATGACGAAGAGAGAGACACGATCTTAAGATAATATGTGACTATATAAACTTAAAATAAGATAGCGGCATTTATCGTAATATACTTGTAACAAGAAATCTCCGCTACCTTCGAAAACCGAGGCCGTTCGATAACGAACGAAGTGAAAATATGGTATATGATGCGGAGGGAAGTTAGAGCTGTAAGCAACATATTTTCAAAATTTGTATTCGATAAAATTTTCCGCAAAAGAATTATTAAGATTAAATTTGGAAATAAGTTAAGAGAATGCGTGATAACTATATATATATAACCGTAATTCGAGTACAATAAGAAGTATTGCAACAATTTTCCGGTGCACCATATTGACATGCTGACGACCCGTAGAGAGCTGGCGACTGACGATAATGATATTAACTCTAAAGTTCAAACAGAAAAACAAATACAGGATTAAGTCCAAGAGCGACACATCTTCTTAAGAAGAAAAGAGCAGTTTGACATAGAGCATCTTCTTGGCGCAGCCTTGAAACATTGGTGCGTGTCTACGAGACAACCCAAAGAAAAACACACAGAGGCGGAGGGTTGGGCTGAAGGGGGTCGTGAATAAAAAGCAGTGCACTGACTTTAAGTGTCCGAGGTGTTTTATTTTGTTTAAGGAGAATAAGCTTACCAATCCACACTCAAGAATAAAAAACTAGTGGTCCTATTTGAACCGATTTAAAGTCAGTTGAGGATTATTTATTATTATTATATTTTTAAAAGCACAGCAGAGTGGACTCATTACACACTGGAGGAGCGACGATAGTATGGCTTGAGGACTAGAACAACATTTGTTTGGAGTAATATCATAACGTTGCATTACTTATGAGTTGGATACGATATACTGTACCGTCAGAAGTATAGATATAATACCATATTCGACGATTATTATTTATAATATACTTAGTACTAGGTACTACTGTAATAAATATGAATTTGTAGTGTATGGTTTGTGGTGTGGTGTGTAAACATGACAAAAACGCAATAAAGAGCTCATAGGCAAGTCGTTTCCCGGGGGCCACCCACCCCACCCCCATTAAAAATTTTAAAAATATGGGGTGAGCGGAGGTATATAAAACTGCACCTGGCTAAGTGAGCGTTGCGGGAGCACCTCTGCATGCATTGAGAATTGGGAAGTAAATGTCAATTTAAGCCAGAAGCAGTGACACACTAATTGTGCTATCATTAATGCAATAATTGGTAAAACGTAACCCTTAATTAATTATGATGATATATAATTCTTAAGGATTAAAACCACAATGCAGAGATTGGTGAATATGAGGCTGTAGTTGTAGTTGTGTTTATGTTAGAGGTGAAGTACTTGTGGGCGATCATGGTGGTTACTTTAACTCGAGTTGAGGACCACAATACCAAGTCGCCTTCCGAAACGGCCATCTCAGCATCCGTACAATAGAACAACCAGGGCTCTGTCTAGGTGACCTGGCACCCTAAGGTCTAAAATTCCTAGTCAGTTCAGTTTGAAGCATCATTGAGTGAAGATAAATCGGTGTTGACTCCGTGAACTCAGAAGAAAACGGCGTGATTGGCCGTAAAAAAAAAAAACTTATAATTGATCAGAGATTAACTTTAGTATCAGTGCAAGGTTAACTAGATTCTAGTTCGTCTTTCCCCGAAGTTAGTGGACAGCGGGTCAATGAATTATGGTCAGATTGTACTACTGTGAAATAAATTTGGGTATAAATCACTTACATCGACGTACGTCGCTATCGGTGACCATTACCAATGCGTTTTTGGGGGTTTGGAATGTGTGAATTCCCGTAGAGTTTTGCCGAAAGATGGGTTGGGTTCCCGTAGAGTCTTTGAATTTTGGCGCGACAGTCCGTAGAATTTCAAAGATAGGGGTTTCATCCAAAGAGTTTAATTGGTGGGTTTTAAGCGTTTATTTGTGCTAGTTTTACTTTTTTTTTTTATCCTTTTCTTCTCATTTAAGCCTGTTTGACCCCATAATTTTCCTGATATACTTCATGCCCTCCCTTGCTAACGGGGCTAACAAAATCAAGATCGTCGATGGAGAAATTGTACTCGATTTCTTGAACGATTCATTCGCAGAAGAAACAGCGCCGAAAATCGATGAAATCATTGGATTTCATGCAAAAAACGTCATTTTTTCAACTTAGTCTCTGGGAGGGTGCGTCGCTATCGGTAATACTTGCCAAAATTTGTAAGTTCTTTTTGTACACAGTATTTAATATTATTCCATTTTGTCATTCCTACAGATAGGACATTGAACATAGAAGAGAACCTACACCACAGAGACATTGGGTTGGCTCAACGAAACAAAAAGCAACTACACTTACAGTAGTGAAATCACTTGAAGTACATCGACACTAGAAATACAATATCTATAAAAGAAGAATCCATGAGTATTGAATAATGATGATATACATGAGAATGAAAGTAAATTAATTCATTTTAAGGTTTCCAGAATTAGTGATGAATGACGGGGCAGAATGATGCTATGCTGATCTGAAGTTTTACTGATCACAATACGAAATCGGAACTACCTTTGATTAAATTACGAGATTAAAGTTATAACGAAGATTGTTGTTAGGGCTAACTAGAGGCCTAACACACCATCATAGCTTAAAACAGAACCAAGTTGCAGATGTTGCCAACTTACAGAAGGAATCGACGAAGACCTACAACTAAAATATCCACGATTCCAGTCTGACAGATCTAAATTGATAATGAATAAATGATATAATAACCAATCCAAATATCACTACTTATAACAGGAGATAAACGCCTCACCGGTTAGGAAGTACAACATTACCTGATCTTAAAAAGATCCAAAAAGATAAGTATATGAAACGGAGAACAAAATAGACAATAAAAGAAAACCTCCAGACAACAAATGGGAGACTCCAGGAAACAAGACCCAGGGCATATAGACAAAAATCCAAAAACCTATAAAAGAAGGATATAATAGACAAGTTGATAATAGCCTGGATGATGGTAAGAACTGTGACATTTGATCATAAAAGACCTATAAGATTAAAATAACACATTAGTCATTCTGTTTAATTCTTTATCATGTCTCGCTGAAGATTTAATGAATAGTCATGTTTTATTCTTTTACTTTTTATAGCATTTTATTATAGTTCATCAGTTGAGTCAGTTTTTTATTATGAACAGACCAAGCCTAAGTGAGTGAAGGTAATTTTGTAGAAGTGAATAGATGAATTGTATTGTATCATTTGGTTGAAAGATATAGTAAATGTCTAGAAGAATTCCTAGGCTAAGCAGTGCAATTTGAAAGTTTTTTTTGTGCTCAGGTAAAGGCCAAGGGATTTCTCTTACCATTATGGAGCTTTTAGATTTCTATGGACTCATAACTTCTAATAATAATTCCATCTCAATTCTGTTGATAATGCCATTTTTTGTAAGGCAAATAATATGTAGAAATGAAAGAGGGAATAAATCTAAGAATGTACATTTGTCATAAATAAAAAACATTTTACAAAAGGGTATCAGAGAGCTCTGTCCCCCCAAGAAAAATTAAAAATAGGGTAATTGTTACTGAAAGCTCTGCACCCTTCCTACCTTCTATTTATACCCTAGATATGGGGACAAACCCCCCTGTACCCCCTTTCATAAGCATTTCTTACTAACTTGTAGCAAACGGACATTAAGAACTGGCTGTGTGAGAGTGTTATGGAGTTAGTCTCTGAACTGTAATATGCAGAGTCATTTCATGGTAAATATGTGGCAATTGTAACATAGACTATGATGTTTCTGACACTATTAATTACATTCTATAAGAAGGCAGTGTTCATTTCCCTCTATCTCCACGTGTTGCTCTTGGTAACTTGTACCAAATGATGTTTTGAAATTCTAAGTTTGGTTGACACTAAATGTACCATTTTATTCCTAGGATTTGTATGAATGAAGGCAGTCTTTTTGCCTTTACTGGAACTGAAAGTGGATGTGGATGTTGCTAACACATAAATTGGCAAGTGCAGCAAACTATAACTCAGAATTTTTATCACAGTTTATGCAACAAGAAAACCAAAGCTACCTGATTAAACTCTCATTTAAGATAGCCATTATATTCTATCTTGCTTAGATCTATTTGGAGTCTAGAGATTTTGTTCTAAAGCTGTTTGCAATATACCATTTTCTCCCCAAATGTAGGATGTTCACTACAGCTATAGATTGTGAACTTCAGCATATTTGCTTGAGCATTTTCAACTTTTCTTCCAAAGCCTAACTTAACATAAACTAATTATACCACGTTTATTCTACTCTTCTTAATTTGCAGAACTACTATGTAAAGTTACATATGCAACTATATCTATTTTATCTAGCCAACTGGTCTAACTAGATGGAAAAATGCTGGCTTTGCAGTTTCAAGGTATTAGGCTCACACCCCAGGCTACTCTCTGTTAACTCATCTGCGACCGAGTACTGGCCTCAAGTGGGTGGAAAGGAGCAGACTACCCTGTTGCATCATCATGTACCTTGTTATGTGTTCTCTGTGGACATAACTCCATTGTTCAGTTTTTCAAAATATTTCAAAGTATTTTTTTTAAACAATGTGTATGTTGCTTCTTTGATTTTATGCCCATTGATTTGTTTATCAATGTGATATATTTGATCAAACAGATTTATAAGATAGCTTATTATCTATTTCAGATTATTAGAAGGGACCCTCGGATACCTCACTGAGGCAAAATAATCTTCAAGGGTCAAGAAAATACATTTGGATCTGTTTATTGAAATTCACCTCCATAGAAATTGCCCTAAAACCATTTTCATATTACTGAGACCATGGGGGAATTCGGAAGAAACATCATTATCCTGATATTTGCTGCCGTGTGTATATGGATAACAAGTGGGTGATGAGACCATTTTAGCAGACTGAATGGTTTACATGGCCTTTCATCTCATTTCATTTCCATATTTGATTGTTATAGACTATTTTCTTTCACTAAATTTGAATTCAGAATTTACATATAATTACAGTTAGTATATCAGACAAAGGGATTTGGTTGCCATTATTGTACGCCATTCAAATTAATTTTGTAGAATAAGAAAGTTTTAAGCTTGTTCAATATCCAACTTGGCTTACTTCTGTTTAATAAAAGGTGTTACAAGTTTTTTTTCTTTATTTTTTGGTATATTTGATTTGATTAATCAATTTATTATATATATATATTTTTTTTCATTAATTGTCAGTTGAATGTCAAATATGAAAGTGAAATATTAATTTTCAGATGGGGAAATTGGTGGAAAATGCACTTATTCCTCTGGTTGTCCAGTGCCAGAAGTCTGTACGGACAACCATTGTGCCTGCTCAGACATAAAGTATTCAGAGTCACTTTACCCACAGTGTGATTGTAAGTATCATATGTTTTTTGTACCTGATTAAACACCCTTTTTGAGGATAGTTGATCTTTGTGTTATTTTGAATATGCTTTATTGTCACATGTATGGTGATTTCTATTCATTTTATTTTTCAGGGGTCTCATTTTGTCTACATAATACTACTTGCTGGGAAAACGCTCAGTGTGTTGACTTTGCGTGTGTGTGTTTAAAGCACTACTACAAGATAGAATCTTCCTGTCGCAGAGGTATGATGTTTCAAGTTTAACATTTATTTTGTGTTAGAACTGAATTTGTGTTGATCAATGATGGATCCAGAATGCTTCCATCAGGGAGGGGCTGAATGAGGCACAAATGGCTGAAGGAAAGAGGCCATAAGTTATGGGACTGGAAAGGGGCTGTAGCTTCCTAAATAGAAGTTATTTAACATTTTTGAGATATTTTCAAAGCATTTTGTTGAAAACTGTGGCGTGTTGATAAATGCTATAAAATAAATAGTATTTGTAGATATTTTGTTACCCATTTTAGTACATTTGAATTGATTCACATTTAGCTGTATGTTGAAGTTTATTATTCTTTATCACTAAGGGACCTCCTTTTGGATCCATTATTATAGTTTACAAGAAATGAACTTTATTGCTTGGCTGCATTTTGGAAGAATCATTATTGATCATTGATAGTGATCAGTAGCAGTCTCAGAATCAGTTAATTAATAAGTGTAGCTAAATTGAGTTTAGATACTTCTGATACAAAGAATTAAATGGCCGGTTTGTTACAGTTGTGTGAGCCCTGACCCAAAGAATATCAATTACACAGATATACATATACATAGAAATAGATTCACATGTTTTAGTCTAGACATGAACCTACCAGATAGATATATAGATAAATATATGTCTATCAGGGACGCAGACAGTTATGGATTTATTTTTTTGTGTATACCTATCTGTATACATGAATATTCATTGGGTCAGCCCTCGCACAATTCTAACAAATTGGCCATTACAGTGAATTTTTTTACGTTCTTTATGTTCTTTTTCAGTGTCATTTGTGCGAGTGATGTCAACCTGCAGAGCAAACGAACATGTAGTATACTTGTGTGATATCAGGAAACATTCTGTATGCATAAATAATACTTGTGTTTGTGCTAAGTAAGTTGGAAAACATAGGTGCTTTACTTAAATTTTAGTAACTAATTTCTTAGTTAATTATATCAACTAATTTCATAATGTCAGTCCACATTTCAGTAGGATGTACAGTGCTCATTTGTTGTGTAGATGAATTGAAAAGGTAGAGATAAATAATCTTTTGTGCTACCAAAATAAGTGAGGAACTGCTGTGATAATAGAGTAATAGAGTAAATAATCTTGTTTGTACTAAAAGAAGCCCAGTCTCCCTGTGACTACAAGGCTTTACTGCAACTCAAATACAGAAAAAAAGGGATAAATGAGAATGAAGGAAAGAATTATTACATGTAGGTAATGCATTATTATGGATTCAAGATGTATTTCCAGTTTTTCTTGACTATTACCAGTATATTTTTTATTCAAGACTAACTTTCCTATTTTTGGTATAAGGGGTTACATTCCAACCTCAGAAGGATCGTGTGAAGCACAGGAAGTGTACATGAAGAAATATAGTCTCTCTGGTGAGTAATGCTCTGATGTGAATTTAACAAAATCATTTTCAGTTTCTGGAGGATGAATGGTCAATTTGAGTAATTGAAAAGTCTTTCAGAAGAGCAAGTCACAGGTGGTGTGAATTTTTTTTCATCCTCAAGAGCCTTGGTTGTAGAATGATATGTTTAGATATATGAAAGATATTTTTAGTGTGATGCCATTACTATGATTTATGGATTCAGAAAAGAGAAAGGGTATTTGTCTTTATTCAAACATTTGTATTCAGCTGGCAGTCTATATGTTCACAAAAAAAAACTTTTGAAATCTGTGTTATTTTTTTTTTCATTCAAATTACAAATGTCTCTATTTGTTCGTTCAATTATACTAATATGCAATTAAGCATATATAATTAAGTTTTGATATTTCAAAACAAATTACATTTCTTTTTTTAATGACACATGTTAAATAGCAGGGAGAAGTGAAGGGCACACACACACACACACACACACACACACACACACACACACACACACACCACACACACACACACACACACACACACACACACACACACACACAACACACACACACACTCACACACACACTCACACTCACACTCACACTCACACTCACACTCACACTCACACTCACACTCACACTCACAATCAATCAATCAATCATAGACATTGATTTGAACATTTTTTCAGAATATCGCGTTAAACCTGGGGAATACTGCAGAGAATCCGCAGATTGTATTGAAGGACTTGAGTGTCAGGGATTTCAGTGCAAGTGTCCAACGTATGTACTTCAGTCTGGGTATTGATAGATATTCATTTATAGCTAGTTTTTTAAAAGTCATTTATTTGTGCTGCGCTATGAGATCATAAAGATTATATATATCCATAACTTTATTTAGCTAAATGTGAAAAAAAGGAAAAACAGTGGCATAGTTATGTACATAGTAGATTATATTCCTAATGTTATCCTGATTGAAATGTTTTGATTATGTTTTTCCAGTGTTAAATGATCTGTAGTTACGGTTTCACGGATATATAATTTTCTAATTACAGTGCTTGTAGGTATGACCAAAGAAAAGAAATTTGCGATTGTGGAAAGGCGGCAATACAGGTGGGACCAATTTATCTTGGGGTCTTTCTTGGCTTGCTTGTCCTTTTATTCTGGTACTATACAATCGAGAGAACCATAAAGAAGTAAGTTTTAAAAATTATAGTTAGACATAATATTTCTAAACTATATAATATTGTCTTATAAAGTTCAACGAACCCGATAAATCTTGGAATAAGGCATATATCAGTATTTGTTATATTCAATTAAGTTTTTGTTGGAACAGAATGATGATTGTATTCCTAAATGTGAAAATTCAATACATATAAGATGCCTCTTTTCATTCCTGTTGATATATTAGAACTATATATTGTTAACGGGATATTATCCTAGTGGATTACCTCAAAAGAGTAAGTGATCTAGCAGTTGAATTTCATTTTTTCAGTCACAAGAAAATGATGAGCCAGTTTTCATCTCTCTCAGCTGCTGATGATGGATATGTGCCAACTTCATATCCACTCTCACCTGTCCATTCCTCCATCCAAACGGAAACAACAGCTGATGGCACTGCATCACCGGCCAGCAGAACAGCTGGCACTCCAATTCATGAAGGCACTGGCACCTCTCAAACCTACTCCATAAATCCCCGAACAGCACCAAACTATCCTGTAAACCCAGAATCAGATAAGCCTCCATCATATGTAGATGTTATTTCTTCACCATTGTATAGCCGCATGGCTGGAGTAGCCACCCCTGATCCAGCAAGCCAGCCTCTTACCTTTGTACCAAATGCTCCATATCCTCATTCCTACATCCCATTGTCTCGTAACACCCAGCGGTTCTCCAGTCCATCACACTCTCTTTCAGGAAGACCACATTCCCGAAGTTCCTCACCTATACCACATCATAGTAGTCCCTCAGGAACACCATATCCTGTTAGTAGTCCCTTAGCAACACCACATCCTGATAGTCCCAATGCACCACTGTATCCTGGCAGTCCTGATGCAATGTTACACCCAGTTAATCCTTCTGCCCCAGCTGGTGCTCCCAGTCCTTCATCTCCAATGCATTCATCTGTTCCTGAAGCATCACCAGCTTACAATCCATACTTTAAATAGGACAGTGTTCCAGGTAAGATTACTCAGTTCTCTTAATTATATATACTTCTCTCTCATTGTACCCCTCCCACCCAGTCCTTCTTTTCTTCAGTTTTATCTACTTATATCTTTTGTTGACTCCGTCTGTTTTCCTCTTTTGGTCTGTCTTCCACATAAAATCAAAATATAATGTGACCTAGATTTTAAATTTAAAATTATAAATTTTACACACACACACACACACACAGTATATATATATATATATATATATATATATATATATATATATATATATATATATATATATATATATATATATATATATATATAATATATATATATATATATATATATATATATATATATATATAATATATATATATATATATATATATATATATATATATATATATAATATATATATATATATATATATATATATATATATATATATATATATTCATATATCATTATATACAATGTATAGTGTACATTTATATATAATTCATAATATACTTTTATCTATAATGTATGATATACATTGAAGTATATTGTGTAATATACATTTATGTATATTATACATTTGTCTATAATGCATAATATATATCAATGTGTAATGTATGATATATTGTATATATACATTTCTCTCTCTCTCTCTCTCTCTCTCTCTCTCTCTCTCTCTCTCTCTCTCTCTCTCTCTCTCTCTCTCTCTCTCTCTCTCTCTCTCTCTCTCTCTCTCTCTCTCTCTCTCTCTCTCTCTCTCTCTCTCTCTCTGATACTTTTTTTTCTTTCTTCACTTAATCTCTCATTTACTCCCTCACTTACTCCTTCATTCACTTATTTTCTCTCTCTTTCTTACTTTCTTTATGTCCTTCTCTCTTTCTTTTTTCCTTCACTCTCTCTTTCTCTCTTTTTCTCTTTCTTATATCTTTCCATCTTTACTCTCTCTCACTCTCTTTTACTCCCTTCCATCATCCTCCCCTGTATCTTTCTCTCAGTATCTATCTATACTCTCTCTCTCTCTCTCTCTCTCTCTCTCTCTCTCTCTCTCTCTCTCTCTCTCTCTCTCTCTCTCTCTCTCTCTCTCTCTCTCTCTCTCTCTCTCTCTCTCTCTCTCTCTCTCTCTCTCTCTCTCTCTCTCTCTCTCTCTCTCTATCTATCTATCTATCTATCTATCTATCTATATATCTATTATATCTATATCTATATACTATCTATATATCTATCTTCCTCCCTTCTTCCCTCCCTCTCTTCCACCTTCTTTTCTATCAGTTGGGAAGTGAGTGTATTTGAATTTTTTTCTGCCCTCCTCAGGCTGTAGCATAGCTTTCAAGTGTATGTATATATATATATATATATATATATATATATATATATATATATATATATATATATATATATATATATATATATATATATATATATATATATATATATATATATATATATATATATATATATATATATATATATATATATATATATATATATATATATATATATATATATATATATATATATATATATATATATATATATATATATATATATATATATATATATATATATATATATATATATATATTATATATATATATATATATATATATATATATATATATATATATATATATATATATATATATTATATATTATATATATATATATATATATATTATATATTATATATATATATATATATATATATATATATCATATATTATATATTATATATTATATATTATATATTATATATTATATATTATATATATATATATATATATATATATATATATATATATATATATATGTATGTATGTATGTATGTATGTATGTATGTATGTATGTATGTATGGCATACACAAGCACAATTTCCTCTTTTCAGGTAATTCTGACAGTGACAGTAAGTCAAAGTACTAAACTGCTTAGTTTGACCAAGTGGAAGGCAAACTTCTTTTAGCAAGACCTTTCTGCAGTGACAAGCTTGCAGGGAAGAATTTGCACAAGAACGTCTTCATAAAGTTGTGATTATATCTATATTTATCCACTCAATCTGTGGATACTGGAAGTGCATGTGGAATATCAAGGAAGTGTACCAGGCATCATTGGGTTAAAGCATAACCACAAGTTGTTTTAAAATGTCCAGTGTGGTAATTCTTCCACCATACTTTTCATTTCATTAATTACAAAATCAAAAGTTCAGAAAACAGTAAATCCTCCAACACAGGAAAAGTAAAAAAAAATTATATGGATACTATTAAGCCTGTGTTTTATTGGAATCATGATTTGATTATTTTGTGATTAGTGCTTCTTAATGATAAGCCTCACGATATAGATTTCAGTTGACTACTAAAATAAAATTCATTACCACATTAGTTTTCTCAGAAACAGTTCATCTCCAAAAAGAGAATATTCTTTAGTTTGTGGAATGCCCACCTCAGGCTGTAGCATAGCTTTCAAGTGGGAAAAGAAAAATGAAAATTGTTAAAGAATTAAGTGAGGAGATTGACTTTGAATGATAATATTTTCTGGAAAAGTTTGAGAAATTGTGCAAATTTTCCCATATATTACAGCTTCTAGTCCAAGAAAAAGGTTGCTGTTGATAAATTACAGTAGAAATCTCATCCATGTTTAAAGATAAAATATAAGTGAAGATGTAGGAGTAAAGTGGAAGAGTGGGTTCTGTGACAGGGAAATCAATTCCCCACTAAGAGCCCAGGGTCAAGATTTTCTCCAGCTCATGCTTTCCTTGTAGCAGCTGCAGCTTTTGAAGCACTTTGCATTTGAATGTTCCTATTGCTTCTTTTAGCATTTTTGCATCACACAGTATAACTGTAGTGCTGGGAACTTAGTGTGGCACAGAGCTGCCAAACAGTATTATGCTTTAGGCGTGGCATGAAGAGATATGGGAGTACATATTTTGAAACCTACCATATGTGGAAAAAATAAGAGAAGAGTAAAAATCAAACTATTAGTACTATGCTTTTGGCACCCCAATGAAATCAGACTGAATAGGGCTAAAATATTACAGGCTGGCTCATATTAGTAAAACATGGCAAATGTTTGCATTTTTCTCTTGTCATATCCGATGCTAGCTCCCTGAAGGGAGATAGTATTGGAAATGTAGATTTGTAGGTATTTATATGCCTAGGTACACTTGGAGGTCAACACAAGGATTTATGAACTACTCTTTTTATAATTAGTGTGTAATGCAAAATCCATACCTAACCAATATTGTAATCGTTGACTCATAACTTAAATGAATTATTACTGAAACCTTGATTGAGGTCTGCAGTTTGATGCTGCCAGCACCACTTCTTTGAACTGTTTTTGAATTACAAGTAATAAATATATTTGTGCTTAATCTTGGAAGTCAGTACAAAGATTTATACTTGATTATTAATATTAGTTTTTGTTTTCATGGAATGCAAGATTTGTAGATAAGCTAAAACATAATCTGTAAAATATAACTTAAATTAGTTATTGCCCAAAACAGAGAAACATGTTTAACAACCAAATGAGTTTACAGACACTCATTAGTGCCTTCTATGTAACAGGTAATCTAAATCAAATATTCTTATAAATGTATTGTACTAGATTAACTTGATTATCTAAATCTTGTTTTAGTAAGCAGAAAATAACTGAAAAGTGCTCATAACACTACCAAAATTTCTATACATATATATTCTTAAATATTCAATTAATATGATACAACTAATTAATTTCTTTTTGCAGATGTAACCTGGATAAAGTTATCCATCTCCTGGTCATTAATTTATGACTATATCCTATGTGATTATTGATAACACTTGATAGTAATCCACTTTCCACATTGAAGGCCCCCTTTACAGAAAATAAGACCTTGAAAGTAGTTGTAAACTTTGAAAAACAGTTGAAATATATAAGACTTTATAAGGCTTTAGCGAATTATATATATTTAACAACTTACAATTGCTTTATCAGGCACTATATATACGTGTGGACACGCCCTGGCCCTGTACCAACTCCTGCCCCCTAGCCCCCTGGGGTTAATGGGAGGCTCGGGGGAGGTGGGCCTTGCCAGTCCTCCTCCCCCCAGATATAACCAATCGGCAGTGTTTCATTTAAATGGAGAGGCTGGGAGGAGGGGAAAAGCCCCTCCCACCCAGCAAGTGAGGCGGACTGTGGGCCCTGCTGGGAGGGCGACTGCTGGAGCGCAGGCTGGGAACGGGAACTACCCGTCTCGCCTGCGCTCTGGTGGCCGCCAGCCCAGAGTGAAACTTGTGGGGGAAAGCCCTCGGGAACCCCACAGGTGGATGATGGGGCACGCAGCCCGCCACCCCTTTTATATGGGGCAGCGTCGGTGGGGGTGGCAGAGGTGGCATCCACCCGAGCGACTGCCAGAGGCTGAACCTCAGGCGGGAAGTTAGGGTGGGGGCTTGGAACGTCCGTTCTTTGCGTCAGGATGATCGGTTGCCTCTACTGTCGAGGGAACTGGGGAGGCTGAGAGTTGAGGTGGCTGCTCTCTCGGAGGTGAGGAGGCCTGGCAGCGGCATGACCTGTGTAGGTGGCTACACCTATTACTGGTCGGGCCGCAGCGATGGCCACCATCTCCAGGGAGTAGCCATTGCCATCTCCAGCAGACTCCAGCCTCGGTAGTAGAGGTTACTCCTGTTGATGAGCGTATAATGGTATTGAGATTGAAGCTATCTTTTGGCTTCATGTCTCTTATTGCTGTGTACGCTCCTACCGATGTTTGTAAACTTGACGTGAAAGAGATGTTCTACGCCAAACTTACATCTGTGGTAGACAGATGTCCCGACGAGATATTCGCATTGTTCTGGGCGACTTCAATGCGGTATCTGGCTGTGATCG